TTGAGGAATTATTTGAAATAATTACTGTAGCACTTTTTGTGATGTGATGTATGTGAAATAAAAGGCGAGTTGAAAATATAAAAAGGTGAGTTAGAAAATATGTATTACTCCCTCCGTCCCATTTTGATAGTCATGTTTCTTTTTTCACACAGTTTAAGAAAAAGTAGTTAACTTTGTTGGAAAAGTAAATTTAGATTGCTATTTCCTAAAATACCCTCACATTAAATATGGTACAATTTTATGGGAACTTGAATTGATGGTAAAAAAAGAATCAACTCTCATTAAATAGGATAGGTTTATAGTAATAACTACTTACATTGAATGAGGGTATTTTAGAAAAATTAAAATACAACTACATTCTTCAATTGGAAAGTGGACTACAATTTGGGACGGATGAAAAAGGAATACAGGACTATCAAAGTGGGACGGAGGGAGTATGATACAAGCAAAATGTAGTTTGGGATAATTTCAATATCTCAGAGTCTGTTTGTTTGAACTGAAAATATTTTCCAAAAAATATTTTTGGATTTTCTGGTGTTTGGCAGCAAAAATTGTCGGGAAAATATTTTCCAGTGTAAAATCTTTTACACTACAAGGTGTAAAATGACTTACGGAGCAGGCATACGGAAGTTAATTTCCATCAAACTTAGCGTATCAATCATTTCAGCGCTTACTTATCAAAATGCTCATAACAAATAAGAAATACCAAACTGAGACCATCGTTAAAAATGCATCCTTACACCTGCAATGAAAAACACCATTGTCAGCCACCTTTCCCTCCTCCTCATATTCGCCAATTCTACTCCTTTTCTCCCATGCCAGCATAAACAATGCATCCATGGAGATGTAGAAAATCTATACCAAGAGTGGGTGTTGATAAGTTTTTGGGTGAGAGAAATTTGGAAAAGTGAAGGAGAAATTTGGAAGACTATTGTGCAGAAAAGTTTGTACTAGAATTCAAGTGCTACTTTTCCATATGATGTTTGATCAATTATAGTTTAATTACTGAAGCAATTTTCGTTGACATATTATGAATTTGAATCTTCATTGGTATGCTGTGTAATTGATTTGAGAAACTATGAATTCCCAATTCTAGAGTTTGATAGATTTGGAGATTGGATGGAATCTCTGGGTTGAGAACTTGAGATGGTAAATCCAATGTACATGGGATGGTGGTAATTGGAGAGACTCTATGGGGAATCCTTCTTGTAGGTTTTAGTTTTGTGGTACATTTTCATAAAACTGCACCAAACACATGAAAATAAAGGGAAATGAAAATTTTTTCACGAAAATTATTTTCATTGAAAATGTTCTCCTCAGGAAAAAATTTTACATTGAAACAAACAGACTCTTATTGATCATCCTTTTACATTGTACTACTGTTTCCATGGGGTGAAAAAAAATGGCTGAGACAAAAAAAACAAGGCATAAAAGAAATTTTGGAGGCGTCAGTATGGTTTTGCTGAGATTGGATAAGTTTTCCTTTTTTTAATAACACAAAAAGGCCCTCTCCTAGATGATTTAAACAATTCAAGATTTTTAATGGAATAGATTGTGCGCTAGCATGTACTAAAATCCATAATTCATCACGTTTGAATTTTTAAGTTATATTTCCCCCTCTCTCTCTCTCTCTCACACACACACACACACACACATATATATATATATATATATATATATATGTTTCCTCAAACTTGAAATCGAATTATTATTCATTACCTACAAACTTTTCAAGTTTCAACAGCTCGTGGCTTAAAAAAATGAGCTCGTTGGAAAAAGAAAAAAAACTGGAGGCATCCAGTTCTCTGTCCCACTTTGCCCTCCAAGTGCTCGTAGAAACACATTTCTGCCATGAAAAATGAAAAAAAAAAAGAAAAGAGAAGATAATCAAGAGAATGTGTATATGTATCACACAAAAATATGCATTGTATTGTCAAGACATTAGCATTGTAGCACAAGGAAAATCTATTTTGTAATTGTAACTTTTCTTAAGTCACCACCAGGCTAATTAATCTGACAACGTAGAATGGTGGATTTCGTCAAACCACCGGGAGCATAGCTCTCTAGTATTGCATGTGCGTGTACAGGTACTTGTATGTCTTACGAAGGATAACATATAAGGCCTGATAAATAAATTCAGCATTTAAATTTAATAGATTTATATTTTAATATGTTAAGACGTGTTTTATAGTCACAAATTGAATATCTGAATTAATTAAAGTAACATTAAATTTTTTAAACAAAATTTGCTCTCAAAAATAAGTGATGAGCTATTTACTTATCACTGAATGTGATATACACTCAAATATATTTGATTTAACATTTAACAATTCAATAATTTAATGAATTCATAATTCAAATTTCAAACTTTAATTCTATCAAATGCACCCTTAAGTGAACACAACAACCCAACTAATCTAGTAAAAAAAATTAATGGGCTGCTGATTGAATGGGGCATTAGAGCACTCTAATTCCGATATCAACATCATTCAACTATATGTACGACAGCTCTGGGTGAGAGATAGTTATATTTGAACTTGGACGGTGGGGATTAAATTTTAGGCATAAATTGTAATAAGCGAAAAAATGTTATTGTATTTTGTCATTTTAACATCTACATTTATCGAATTTGCGTCTACGCCATCTAGCAATGGTAGAACCTTTGATCCGAAAGAGAGGAAAGTGAGTATCCACATGCAAGACAGGTGCATATCTGACAGATTATTGAAAAAGTTAGCTCTTTACTTTCTTCCCCAGTTTGATCAACCAAACCATCTTTTTCCTTCTTTTTTCTTTTTTCCCTTTCATTTTCTCTTCTCTTTCTGGGTAGAAATCACCCAGCCCATCTACTTTCACATGCCGACTACTTGAGTGCGTACATCTTTTACGTTTTGTTTGCAGATGCATGCATTCTCTACTTGTAGCTCATGTAAGAAAGCTAACTTTCAAGTATATAAGCTTATGTAAGAAAATTTGCAAATAGACCATTATTGATTCCGGGAAAAAACATTGCCTTTGTTTGAATAATTACTATAACATTTTTGTAATGTGATGGAAGTGAGATAAAAATGTGGTTGGAAACATAAAATAATACTACTACAACAGTTATGTAGGCAATGATGCTGTGTCAGGTGATCTACAAACTTGGCTCGTACTCTACTAATATGCTTAGTACGCTTTACTTCTCTTCTTCTTTTTGGCTGCAAGAGCCAACTTTCACGGTTTCGGTTGTAACTCAACTCAGTGGCTTAATTTGATTCTGCCTCTGCTGCAACTCCCAGTGGAATGACAAAAAATTGCAGGTAGATTTCTACGTTGCATTATCCTGATAGGCAGGCAGGGGTGTATCAGTTTTTGGTGGTGGACCTGTCACTTTCTTGGTTAAGATATTACACTAAATTTGTATACTACGAAAGGGAGATGCCCCTTGTGCTAAAAGATGCCTACCAGAAGAATGTACAATTCGACATGATTGCCACCTCCTGCGTTTTCATCGTATAATGAACCTTGCGGGTAATAGACTACAAACACAAATCGCACGACGCCTTGACATTTCCAACCAACCCCTTTAGAATGGATTTAACTGTGCTATGCTCAGCAAAATTATGTAACAAATGAAAAAGTATTATAGGATTTAGAAAACAGAAAAACCAGCCAGTTCATCATGCCTACTACCCGGTTGGTCCCAAATGGTGGACGGTCACTTCCATTTGGTACCTACTTTTCATTGCTGATTGAAGGTGTACAAGACAGGGTCACCTGTTCACGTGGATTTAGGAATTCGAGTGATTCTGTCCATCGGGCGATGCACGCTGGAATTGGTCTATGAGGGAGGTGGTGTTGGTCTTGAGTTGGAGGATGCTTGTGTCGTACGAAACGTGAATTCTGCTTTAGTTCATTGGAAGTAAAGAAAAGGAAATTTATCCCTAAATTATTAAGAAATTGGTAGGGAGCTCGACTATTTAAAAAAAAATTTTTTTTAAACAATACTATAATATTTGCACTGCACGTTTTGTTAGTCGCACTTCCACCATTTGTTTTATCATATAATCTAATAAATAAAAATTACTTTTATCATTTATTTTATCATATAATCTAATAAATAAAATCATATAACAAAAATGGCGTTTGTTTTATCATATAATTTAATAAATAAAAATCACTACATATAATAAAAAATGACAGTGGTGAGGGTGCGATTAATAAAAATGGGAGGGCAAAATTCTCCTTCTCAAATATGGATCCCAAATGTTATCCAACACATAAAAAGAGGGAAAGTTAACATTGGCACAGGTTTCCGCTGTCCATCGGGCGATGCACGCTGGAATTGGTCTATGAGGGAGGTGGTGTTGGTCTTGAGTTGGAGGATGCTTGTGTCGTACGAAACGTGAATTCTGCTTTAGTTCATTGGAAGTAAAGAAAAGGAAATTTATCCCTAAATTATTAAGAAATTGGCAGGGAGCTCGACTATTTTTTAAAAATTTTATTTAAAACAACACTTTAATATTTGCACTGCACGTTTTGTTAGCCGCACTTCCACCATTTGTTTTATCATATAATCTAATAGATAAAAATTACTTTTATCATTTATTTTATCATATAATCTAATAAATAAAAATCATATAACAAAAAATGGCGTTTGTTTTATCATATAATTTAATAAATAAAAATCACTACATATAATAAAAAATGACAGTGGTGAGGGTGCGATTAATAAAAATGGGAGGGCAAAATTCTCCTTCTCAAATATGGATCCCAAATGTTATCCAACACATAAAAAGAGGGAAAGTTAACATTGGCACAGGTTTCCGCTTCTCTGGCCCTATTGGAATTCGGTTGGGGGATTGGACCAAATACTAGTTGAATTTTAAAAGCGTGCTCTTCTTGAAAATCATGTCACATCAAATACCATTTTTTTTTAAGCTCGAGACCCTCACTTGATTTCGATGCAACGGATCTTCTGTACCATATCCTATCTCACATCCTGTCTCACTCCTTAAAATCTCGCCAAGTGTCCCTTAATAAACCAAACCCTTAAACAATTCAACTCGGACCATATTAAGTTAATTAATCGATTAATCGGACAAAGAAATTTAATCTCTTTAACCAATATAACCAAAACCAAGAAAATAAAAAACTCTTTAACCAAAATCACAATTTTTCAACGGAAAAAACCCTAAAATATTAAAAAACCTCTGTCCGAGTTCATCATCTTCACCATTCAGCTTTGACGAAATATTCACGGATAAAGCTTCGAAGCTCTTCCCAGAGGTGAGAAACAAGTTATTTCTTAAAAACCTTGGTGGGGTTCTTCGAAGCTCTTCGCAGGCCAATTTGATGTGATTTGCTAAGCTTAGGCACTTGATCTAGTTTTCAGCTTCAAATTGGTCTGTTGATACACACCTTTGAATTAGTTTTGCTATATCCTCAATTGCAGGGAAGAAGTAAGAAATTGGTTATATTCTCTAGTGTGTCTGTTTTAGTGTTTTGGAACTTAGGTGTAGATGATTTTGGAGGGTAACAAGTTTGCGTTTATCTTTTGCTGATTGAGGGAATTTTTCTTCTAATTTGCAGCTTCCAGTCTGAATGTTTCATCTGTTAAATTGTCTGAAAATTCGGTATCTGCTGGACGAAGCACACCACCTGTTCGATCAAATGCCTAAGAGGAAGATGAATCAAACTGTAAGGTAAAAGTCTGACTTGGTTGCGCCCATATTTTTGCTAGTAGAGCAAAACCTCTACTTCAAATGTTGTCTACCATTTTAACCTTTTTTCCCCTCAAATGTTAAATATGTGCCATTTGGATAAATTGCCATTTTCATATTTCATTTGTTTCAATCAATGTTTTCCGTAGCAGATTTTTTGGGTTCGTCTCGAACTTTCTTTTCCTCCAATCAACTCTGTGTTCTCAATTTTTTCTAGTTTCATCTTCCTAGAAAGGAAAATGGAGTGCAATATTGAAAACTCTATAAACTCTGAGAAAAAGTGATCAAGGTTTGACAATTTATTTTGTTTATGTGAACAATGCTATTTTATTGTTTGACTATTATTTTTTTTTGGTTCCTTAGTTCTACGATGAATGATGAGCATGGAAATAGTATTGGGATCCTTATTTATAATTTGGATAAAAATGATTGTAGGAATCTGGAAATAATGTTGTTCATTCAAGTATGGATTCTATTACAATTCAAGGTTTTGTTCGAGAATTACCACCACAACAGGTTTAGTTATTCGTCATTTTTCTCGTGTATAGTATAGTAGATATGTAATTCATTCTAAATTTTTATTTGAATATTTTATTCTTAAATGACTAAACTACATTGAAGGTATATTTTGTCAATGATATTTTTAATTCGTGATTGTCTCTCTTTAATTATATCAGGGATTTGGAATTCCAATAGAAGACTCTTGCACCCTTTTGTCCAGATGAAGATTTATAACCAGCCATGTATGCTCCCTCAGCTCGCAAGAGGGGCACTCAGTTTGGATAGAACAGGTTTTCCATCGGTCAGGCTTCTTAAAAGGACGCCGGGATGATGGTCACATGCTTCATGTTGCCTGTGACACGGAAATGCGCTAGGGAGATATTTGTACTTTCACAGTTTCTTTGCTTGCAATAAAAAGATATTTACTTAAAAAAAAAAAAGAATTCCAATAGAAGACATCTGCAATAGGCAAAATACTAAGAACATGACACAATTATTACAAGTAAGTGAATATTATGCTTTTTGTAGATATTATGTCAACCATTAGTTGCATGTTGTTTCTTATCTATCTCAATTTTTTCCAAATATTATAGTTTTGCAAGTTTACAGCTGTTTGTTTGTATTTGTGGTCTTTTATTTCTTATTTTTCTGACAGACGTTGAACCCTAACTTCTACCAAGGCTATGATTTGATGTCTTCAAGTTCAATAGCACAACAGCATGCATCAATAAGTTTAGTCCAAGTAAGGAAAAACCTTGATTAATTATTTAATCTTATATATATTAGTTTGATAATTTACAATTATAATTCAATATATTTGCTAACTTTGGGTCTGTTTTTGTAGGCACAAGAACTTGAAAATAATGATGATTCTGATCAACAAGTTGTTGAAAATGGGAAAATTGAATGAAGATGCTTATGAAGAAATGGAGGACAAGACTGTGGGATTGCGCTCATGGATTAATTAGACCTTTAAGTGGAATAATACTTTGTGCTTATACTTATTGATTTTGATATTTTTGTTCAAATATCTGTTAATAAACGTTCTTCTGACTAAACTGTAGAACATGAGATATATTAGTTGAGCTGCCCTGGATTCTTGATGCATACAAGAAATCGTCTTTTGAATGTTCCTCAGCTTTGCATTTGTTTAACCATACAATAAGAAAACCCAGATTTTTGTTTGGCTTTTAGATTAATTTTGCAACTTGAGTAGACAGAAATTAGAGAAAACCAGCAAAATAAAGCTGCATTTTCGTTCCTTTTTTTTTTCTTCTTCTTTAATGTTTGAGCTACCACGCTATTTTTTCAATGTCAGTAAGATTTTGCATCGGACTTTATTCTGCAGGAGAGAGACTTGTCTTAAGATTGATCCTTAGACTCACAAGTCAAACAACTAAAGCTTATAACCTTACCAAGGTACTCCGAAAACTTGTTCTCTGATTCTAAACAACTCGGGACCAATCTCGTATTTGACTGTTGACACCAAATTGTATATATAATCCATATAACAATGCTGAAATTCCCGAAATATGTCCATAAACCAGGCCCTGTACACCTCTTATTCGAATGGAAGGATAAGATTCAGCAACAATTTAAATGCAGATCCTCTACTAATAGTAAAAACAAGTACAAACTCATTCTCAAGAATGTTCAAGTAATCCATAATTTTGGTTTTAATATCATGCTCCACAGTACCTTCCTCTGCACCCCAATGAAGTACATGATTGCTCAAATTTGCAGTAATTTCCTTTAAGCTAAATGTAGATGAATCCCAATACTGTAGCGTTTGAAAACAAGAAAACAACCCGTACAAAGTCAATTCTCAATGATCAATTGTTTCTCAACATTGGAACTTTGGGTACAAAGTCAAGAACCAACAAGAAGGCTTCATTAAAGCCAGGAATGGATTCATCAGTGCAAAATGTCCTTTCAGACAAAAGAGTAGTTGCCCTCAAGAATTCCTTTGGGCATTAAGCCTTGCAAGAGATATTGACCTTCCCAAGCAGCCATCTTGATTCAAAGACTCAGAGTCAATTTCATGTGTTTTTACGAAGTGACCCATCTTCAGAAGCCTCCTCGAGAGCCCCCCTTAGTTTGTTCTCCGGCGAATTCTTGAGAGTTGATGGCTCTGCCTTACCCCACTCCTCATCCTCCTCCACGCAAGAACCTTTTCCTCTCCTACTCTTCTTGTCCATCATCAAGGTTGCACAGAATGATATAGGCTTCCATAGTCTCAGATGCAGTAACACGAATTAGTTCCAGTTGACTGCAAAAACCTATCATCATATCATATACCCCTGCAGTATTAGGGAAAAAGTTACAAGCTTTACATGATTGAAGCTTCGTTATGCATGACATTCTGCAAATAAGAGATTACAATTATCTAAGTTACATAATTTTCATAAACATTGAACTTTGTAAACAGTAACAATGAAGTGAATGAATACATAAACCCTGTAACTAGTCACACTAATGCATGTCAAGATGGCACCTCTATCCATATACACCAAAACCAGAAAACCATTGCAATTTGCTGCAGCAAATGTAACTTTAAAATTATCGGTAAAGTTATCCTTTAAAATTTAGAAAAACTAAACGTAACAAAAGAACTTTGGGGGAAAGAGAGAGAGAGACCATTTCTCTGTTAGTTGCACAGCACCCCACAAAGAATTTGAAAAGCATGGTGATTAAAACAAGGAAATTCTTCATTTTTCAGACACAGGATAAAAATTGTTATGCAGTTTCTAGCTTCTTTTTTGAGCTCACCATTTAATAAAGCTTGACAAGTTATAAGGATGGCCTACTGAGTACAATCATCAGTAGTAAAACAATGATCACACATGTTTCTTGGCTTTAATTCATAGTTACAGAATAAAAAAAAGAGCGTTTTTTTGAGAAGCACTTACCTTTAGGCCTTATCAGGTTTTAGATGATCTCATCTGCCAAAGACAGAGATAGATTTCCCAAATGAAACCAGCAGGTTGACCAATAATACTACTACGACTAATCAAGATTATGAATCAAAGACCATCCATTCATTGTTGATCAATAATACTACGACTAATCTAAGATTATGAATCAGCATTTGATAAAAATTTCAACTCATGGACTAATTATCAAATGCATCAAATAAATTTGCGACACGAAAGAGTAGAAGGGAGACAAGAATCGCATGTGCCAGCACAAAAAAGTAACCATCATGCAAACTTTAACATATTTTCTAACTACTAATTACAAGCCTACGGGTAGTCCTAATAAACAAAATCAAACGTATAAAACGCAAAACACCCTCCTAATAAATATAGGCGCAACCAAGTCAGACTTTTACCTTATAGTTTGATTCATCTTCCTCTTAGGCATTTGATCGAACAGCTGGTGAGCTTCGTCCAGTACATACCGAATTTTCAGAAAATTTAACAGATGAAACATTTGGAGTGGAAGCTGCAAATTAGAAGAAAAATTCCCTTAATCAGCAAAAGATAAAGGCAAACTTGTTACCCTCCCAAAATCATCTACACCTAAGTTCCAAAACACTAAAACAGAGACACTAGAGAATATAACCAATTTCTTACTACTACACACATGCAGTTGAGGATATAGCAAAACTAATTCAACGGTGTGTATCTATACCGATTTGAAGTTGAAAACTAGATTAAGTGCCTAAGCTTAGCAAATTACATCAAATTGGCCTGCGTAGCTAGAAAGAAAATGCCCTGAAAGCAAATTATTTTTTAAAAAAAAGTTGCAAAGATTACCGGAACCGTTCAAATTCTGGAGGTAGCAAAATTAAGTCGCATGCTCAAACAAAACTTCGGAAGCGGAAGTACCCATTACCCAGTACAACTTTACACTAAAACTAAATATTTGTTTCTCACCTTTGGGAAGAGCTTCGAAGCTTTATCTCATCCTCGTAAAAAAGTTATTTCTCATGGGAAGAGATGATGAAGAGGACAGAGGACCTCTGGGAAGAGCTTCGAAGCTTTATCTGTGAATATTTCGTCAAAGCTAAATGGTGAAGATGATGAACTCGGACAGAGGTTTTTAATATTTTAGGGTTTTTCCGTTGAAAAATTGTGATTTTGGTTAAAGAGTTTTTTTTCTTGGTTTTGGTTATATTGGTTAAAGAGATTAAATTTCTTTGTCCGATTAATTGATTAATTAATTTAATATGATTCGAGTTGAGTTGTTTGAGGTTTGGTTTATTATGGGACACTTGGTGAGATTTTAAGAAGTGGGACAGGATGTGAGACGGGGTGTGGTACAGAAGATCCGTTGCGTGATTTCGAGCCCGATAACTTTCAGTTACACTCCTTCCTCGTATCATCCACTACTCAGTAATTGTAGCAATTACTTTCCATTCCACGGCTGGCTTTCTAATGCCACACCTAGTTTCTTTTGAAATGGCAAATTTGCATTGCTTGGATTATTTGTTTCCGTCGGAAAATATTGTCTTTTTTCGTGATTACATTTTCCTATCACCTTTTTCCCTCACATATATCAAATCGTTACAGTAATTTTTCCATGAAAAATGACAGAAAATGTAATCCAAATACAACCTTATACTTTTCAAAGTGTATCAACTTTTATTATTGAAGGACATAATTGTTATTTTAATAGATATTTGCTATGGAAAAAAAAGGGTGCTATGGATGTATCATTTGCCATTTATATTATGATCCGAATTCCAACTGAATACTTCAACATGTAATTCTAATTTAGGAAGTTATTCCTAAACCTAGTCATTGGTATTACACCAATGTGATTGCTTTATTATACCTTGATGATTTTTCAATTGTGTACCATCCCATTTTTTTATCAAGATATGAAACCATGACACAGTGTCGATGGATTTAAAAAAAAAAAAATTAAATATGCTTCTTTATTTTTCAAAGTTAGGCCCAACAAATTTAAAAGGCATACATGTAAATTGAATTAGTATACAATCTTTTCTTCTCATCCTTCTTCAACTTCCAAACAAAAGAGAATTAAGACCTTTTTTTTTAAACTCCCAACCAAATTACATATTTCCTCTTCTTTCTTATCTCTCATCTTTGCTGTATATAAAGTCATTTTGTGATAAAAGAAAGTGCCACTCGATGTTTTACAAATTTACCCCATTTTTTACAGGGCACTACTCCACTTAATACTATCAAAAGAAAAAAACCCCACACTTACTTAAAAACCTTCTAGTTTTAAGGCTTTTAACCACCTGTGTATAACCAACTAAAAACCATCAATTGGATTAGAACCAAGAAAAGGAAAAAAGTGCAAAAAGTCAACAGATTATTTCAAGTAAAACTACTAATTTTCATTTTTTTGATAAAAAAAACGAGGGTAAACTACACTTTAACTCCGTATGGTTTAGCAATTTTCACATAACCTTCGTGTGGTTTCAAAAGCTACACGTGATCTCCTTATGATTTAGATTAAAGTGTTAAAGTAATGAAATTCTGCATTACATATAATCTCAACAAATTATTTTAGGCGAAGTTTCATGATATTTTTACGAGCTTTCCATATTTGATAATCTATTTATTTCGATATTGATTGGGTTAAAGTGGCATATGTAATGCGATGTGGAATTGCGCTTGACTTGGATGGGCGCCGATCCACAGTTTTATGAAGTTTGGGATGTCTCGATCCCTCGATGTCCAAGGAGCATAATTTTGTATGCAACTACGGTTGTGTTAAGATTGTAATTTAAAAAAAAAAATTTTTGTAGAAATGAATTATAATGATTTGATATGTGTAAGATAAAAATGATTTGAAAATGTAGAGATTTTTTTGATGAAAAATTCATTTCTAAACAAGGCAACATTCATGTACGTATATATCAAGCTTTAAAATTCAAGCAGCACGAGCTTTACAAATAACTGGCAACTGCCAGCTAGTCTTTGTGCGCATCCAAATTGAGCTACATCGTAAGGAGCCCTTCTCTAGGTTTCATGTTAGAGGTTAACAGCCATTTTGGCTAACCTATGACTACACATGTTCACTTCTCTTCCGATGAAGGAGAAGTTACATTTTGCCAAAAAGGGTTTACTAAGGGATGTAATATCACCGCTACTTACAATATCTATAGTGGAAGTGCATAGCAGCTTTGGTTAATTATAAATGTCTACAACAGATT